GGTTTGCAGCAGTGCTGCGGGGGGGGGTGCAGGGGTGCCTCAGGAGGGGGCTCGCAGGGATGGGGGGTTGCAGCAGGAGGCTGAATCTGTGGGAGTTTCCCGGGTGCTGAGGTGGGGAGGCTGGCGCGCGGGAGCGGGGCCCCGAAGGCCGATCTGGCCACCGTCTCCCCAGGAGGTCGGCCGCATGAAGATCGAGCTGTTCGCCGACGTCGTACCCAAAACGGCAGAGAACTTCAGGTAAGGAGCAGCCGGCGTTCCCTGCGGCTCAGCCCGGACCTGGGCTGCGAGGCTTTACGGTGCAGGAGTGTCTCTGGTGGCAGAGCGACTGCCTGCCCCCCAGAACCGCTGCAGCTGCTTTGCTCCTCTCTCCGTTCCCAGAGAGATGTGCAGCAGCCCGATCCCTCAGGGGAGCCCATCTGGCTGGAAGGTGAAGGACTCCAGTCCCGCTCTGCTCCCTCTGTGGAGCTTCTGATACGCTCAGTGCGTTTATAAAAGGCAGTGCCTTAATGTCATGGTAGAGTTCTCTGCTGCTGGCCGAACGATGTGCCACCTGGACATCCCACTTGCACGGGAGAAATGAATATACCCTGTTCTCTGTGAAACACAGTGCCTGGTCCATGTTCCGTCTCTTACAACCTCGGTGTTAAATATCTGACCTCCTCAACTGCACCAAGTGCAGACCTCTGTTTTGAAATGGAAGTGGGGAGGACTTACTGCTGGTTCCCGTTTCATGGGGGATATCCCCGGTGCAGTAAGGAAGGTCCTGCCCAACGGTCAGCGCGTGTTTGCTGAATGCAGCCCTCTGTGTCCTCGGAGTTCCAATGGGGCTCACGCTCGGCTCTTTTTTGTTTTCCAGGCAGTTTTGTACGGGTGAATTCAGGTAAGTGGGTGATAGGGTGGTTTTAAGTAGCCTCCTCAGAGAAACAGGGCTGGGTGAGTGGGAAGAAGGCTCGCTTGGAAGTTTTTCTTACTATACCAGTGCAAAATGAAAGAGTTACAGAGATCTGCTCTGGTGAAATTGTGACGGGCTCGGTCAGTCGCGGAGATGGCAGACTTTCCCTTTTAGGCATGGCTTTGTTCGTGCTCAGGTTGCTTTAAAAAGCCCTGTCTGCAAATCCCACCCGCTCCTGCTGCCCCTTGCAGTGGCATCCCGTCCGGATGATGGGATCGATGTTGGAGGGAACCGTGTTGTTTCACGGGCAGAGCCCACTGGAGGTTTCCCTTGGCCTCGTGACAGCACCAGCTCAGGGCCGGGCCCCAGCAGCTGGGCTGCCTCGTTGTCTGCCAAGGCAGCTCCTAACGTACAGGGCAGCCCTGGGGGACTCTCAGTTCCTGGCAGGGTTTTGTGTTGGGATATTGCAGTTGCAGTGATTTTCCTTTTTATTTCCTTGCAGGAAAGATGGTGTCCCTATAGGTTATAAAGGAAGCACTTTCCACAGGTAATTCATCTGCTTTTGTTTCGGCACTTAACTAGCAGTCTGAGCTAGATGTGGTTTTGAGGCCTGCCTCAAGGCGTTACGGTCTGGGAGGCATTTGTAGGTCACGGCTGATACCGTCCTTGGGTGGGTTCGGGGGGGCTGTCAGCTGTGTACGCTGTGGTCGCTGGGAGGGATCCCCCCGCTCCTGCTGTGCCAGGTCGGAGATCGTTTTCTGGCATCTGTCGCCTAATCGCTCTCCCTGGTCGAACAGCAATGGGTCCCAAATTACGCGATAGCAACCCATAGTTCGTATTTGTTGTAGATTTTAGACTGTAGCATTCATAGACCCCGAGAACTTCTGTTGTGCTGCGAAGCAGAACTCCTTTTTACCACATATTAAGCTTCTCGAGGCATTTGTCTCCTGAGAACTAAGTATTCTTTTACTTCTTCAGGGTAATAAAGGATTTCATGATCCAAGGAGGTGACTTTGTAAACGTATGTACTTCTATATTCCTTTGGTGCTTTTCCTACACGGTGTAATATGCAACTGTTTCCAAGGGTCCGTGCCGATTTGTGGGATCTGTTGGCTCTCTTTTGAGGTACTGTTGTGGTTTAACCCCAGCCAGCAACTATGAACCACCCAGCCGCTCACTCACTCCCCCCCAGTGGGGTGGGGGAGAGAATTGGAAGGGTGAAAGTCAGACAACTCCTGGGTTGAGATAAGAACAGTTTAATAATTGAAGTAAAATAAAATAGAATGATAGTAGTAGTAATAATAATAATAATAATACAATAATAATGTACAAAGCAAGTGATACACGACACAATTGCTCACCACCCCCTGACTGATGCCCAGCCTGTTCCCGAGCAGCAATCCCTTCCCCCCCGGCCAACTCGCCCCAGTTATATACTGAGCATGACGTCATACGGTGTGGAATAGCCCTGTGGCCAGTCTGGGTCAGCCCCCCTGGCTGTGCCTTAGCAACAACTAAAATATCAGTGTGTTATCAACATTATTCTCATACTAAATCCAAAACACAGCACTATACCAGCTACTAAGAAGAAAATTAACTCTATCCGAGCTGAAACCAGGACAGGTACCCAGTAGGAACTGGAAGTTTCCTCTTAGCATTGCTGCCATCTTACTGCAACAGACTGTAGTGTACTTGAAAACAGATCTGGAGTCTTGAGTGAACATACCTTCTCCTTCCCAAAATACTTCCTCTCGGAACAAAGCGTGGCAGTACAGCTAGAGGCTTTTCAGACTTGCAGAGATTTTTTTTTTTTACCCTGTTGTCCTTCTCCCTTCTCCTGTCCCCCCCAAAGAAGACACCCTGCGAATTTCTGCTAGCTTTGTGGAGAGAGACCCAAAGTACGGAACCAAGCATCGAGCACAAGAGAGAGTTTAAATCAAAACTAACTTTTTTGTTATTAAATTGTCTCAAAATAGAAGCCTTTGTGCCCGCAGTGGTGGTCATGCTCTGACGTGGGGGTAAGCAGAGTGTATGGGGAAGGCCGGAGGACCGCTGGGTCTCTTCACCGTCCTAGGACCCAGGAAAATTATTTTATTTCTGGAAGTGTTTCAAACTGTGAGGGGGTTGATAAAGCTTTTTCAATACAAAATTCATAAAGCTTGGTTGTATGCAGGTCACTGAGAGAACTGACCGCACAGCGGGTGGCTCAGCCACACCAGGTTTTTAGGCAGTCGCTAATTGTGATGCTGCTCAGATGTCCCAGTGGGCTTTAGTGCTTCCACTGGAGCTCAACAAGCATTACAGCTTGCACCAATATTTGTAATTTATAAATTACACTTCTGGCAGAGCCACTTGGGGAGCAAGAACGGTGGCATTGACCACTAGGACAGGGTATGTGTTCCTGTCTCAGAGCTGACAGTTTCAGAAAACCAGAGAGAATAGGAGGAAAAGGAGCAAGGGCTAGGCAAGCAGAGCGAAAGGTGTGGAGCTGTGCACGGTGTATTACTGGGATCTTATTTTCCTGTTAAGTTTGGCCTAATAAAGAAAGTATACGTTAAGTAGAAAGGCAATGAAGGGAGACAGGTTGCAGTAAGGCAGAAGAAATGGGGCTGAAGCGACACAGAAGGGGAAAACCAACACAGAAAGGGAAATTACTGTCGGAATAGGAAATTTAACTGACCCCTGCCAGGGGTACCTGTTTGCGCTGCTTCTGCAGCTTTCCCTGAAGGGTCCCCCACTGCAGCATCTTGAGGGCTGTTCTGCTGAAGGGTCCTTGCCCGGTCCTTTTGGCATCGTCCAGGAGTGTCTCTGCAACGCCGGACCAAAGGGCAGAGTGGCCTTTCAGCAGTCGCACAAGCGGCGTGTCTTACGTGAACCGTGCGTCAGGCTTCTGCAAAGTTTTAAACCCGTGAGCAGTCAAAGCTTGCAGTCCGCAGCTGTTATGTACCATGCTGCTTTAATTTATAAGGGTCTTGAGATCTGAGTGCTAGGGCTTGTAGCAAGTACAAGATGTCTCGACTTGCTAGAAAGTACAGCAAAAATTAGAAACTGTCCCTGATGAACAGAGACATCGCTTCCCTATTTCCAGTAAAATCACAGAAAATAAGGTGAAATAAGTAAGCGTACCATCTGCTGACTTTTTCCACACAACCACTTCTGCTTTCCTTGTCACACCAGCCCATACTTCTACGTCCCCTCCCTTTTCCCTGCCAGTCCAGGTGGGTCCATACCAAGCGATCTATAGCCTTCGTCTCACTCTGGGAGGCTTGTACTTAATGCTTACTGTCTCGGGGGGGTTCTGCCAACGTATGGATGGCAAACGATGTACCGGATAGTTAGAAACCAGTCTCTGTTCCTCTTCAGAAATGAAACCTTGAATGTGTTCACTGCTGGTGTATGTAAATGGCAGTACAACATCCATTTTGGGCTGAGTTTAACCCTGTCCTTTTGCTTGGGGATTTTAAATTTAAATTTTAAATTGAATTGAGTGCTGTGGCTGACTGGACACCTCTCTCATGCAGGGAGATGGCACTGGAGTAGCCAGTATATATAGGGGTCCTTTTGCAGATGAAAACTTCAAGCTGAAACACTCTGCTCCTGGGCTGCTCTCTATGGTGAGTCTAAAAAAACTTTTGCTACTTCCTCTGTGCCCTTTTCCCAAGCGTATAAACTATTCGCCAGACAACAGAAATCTCACCATTGGATACGAGGTCTGAAAGACCTGCTTCGTAACTACTAGTCAGAAGGCTACTCATGGGTTAATGTGTTGAGTAACACAACAGTCCCGATCCTGCAGCATCCTTTCTTTTTTACCTGTCCCAGTGCTGGGGCAGGCTTTCATCAGCTTTCAGAACAGCTTGATTCTTAGGGTTTTCCTACAGTGGCAAGTGGTGGCGTTTTTTCTTCCCTGATACTGTTATCAAACACTGACCTCAGCAAGGATGAAACAAAGAGATTTGGGAGTTTCAAAGCCATAGCAGCGTTACCATGGTATCTTTTATAACATACGCTTCCTGTTCAACACTGTGGGAAAAACTGCAACCATTGCATGTTGTCTGGTAGGAACAATACACTGACTTTTGCAATAGAAAGCAAGTGGAGCCAGTGCTTCGGTGTGTTCCTATCCAGAACTGCTTCTTCCCCAGCTCTTTCAGCTGCCCTGCCCTTAAAACCACTTGCTTTGGGCATTTACCGTTTGGATTAGTTGTTCATCCAGTTCAAAACGTGGCCCAAAAAGAGGTGTCATGACACAGCTAAGCAACCAGCGTACTGTAGTGTGGGAGAAGGGATCCCACGCTGGTATTACCAGCTTCGTGTTAAAGCGGCATGGCTCTGGAGTCATTCTGCTGGGCCAAACCATGGTCCATCCCAGCTGGATCCTTCGAAGGTGGCTAGCAGTAAGTAAAAGATCCAATGTGACTGTGTCCTGTGCAGTCCTGCAGCTGCAAAATTTGCCCAGTTCACTTGTCAGCACAGAAACATGCTTCGGTACCTCCTGGTTGTCAAAAGAGCTTTGAAAAATTGAAATGGACTTCAGTGTTGCAGGGAAGTTTTCTTAGCAGAGCGCAAATGCTCGTGTGCGAATTAAATTTCACATCTGCGTGACACCCTTCCTGTGAACCCTGTGCCAATATGATTGTTACCTTTCTCATCCTGATCATCAGAACAGACACCTGTTTGTTTTTTTTTTATTCTGAGGAAACTTTCCAAGTAGCAGAAATCAGCTTCTTTTTTTCTGCCCTGGTTCCTGGCTTTCAGTTTTCCCCAGGACAATACGGCAGCAGTAAGTACTCATTGTCAAAAAATTTAGCCTTTTTTCAGGAGCATGCTCTAGAGCCCGGATTTCAGCACAGTCTTGTGCTGAACATGCCTTCGCAGAAGTATAATAAAAAGTTGGTGGCGGGGCTCTTGCGCGCGCTGGCACCACCAGACTTGCTGGCGTGCCATGTCCCAGCACAGGCCGCTCTCCTGCAGATGAGTATCTTGCTTCCTTTGGTTTTTGTAGCAATAAGCTAAAAATAAGCTAGGCTAGGTCTAGAGCAACAGCTCTTTCCTATGTGAGATGCCTCTGCCTTCAGTTTTGGCAACTCCTAATTGGTATACTTTTCATATTTTGCCATTCTCAACCCCCAGGCAAACAGTGGTCCGAGTACCAACGGCTGCCAGTTTTTCATTACGTGCTCCAAATGTGACTGGTTGGATGGAAAACACGTTGTGTTTGGTGAGTACCTGCAGCGGAGGCCTGGCGTACCAGCTCACGGACGCTCCTGTGGCGCAGCTGCTAAAATCAACAGCCGTGGACCGCTTCTTCTTCCCCCCCTTGCTTGTGCTAGCGGAGGTGTCTGTGAAGCCAGATACTGAGATGGATCAGTGTTGAAATGAAACATTTTTTTTCCCAGGTTAGCTTTAATCCAGATCGGTTCCTTGATCGGTGTACCACGTTACTACATAAATCCTCGTGCCGGTGCAGAAGGGACAGGCAGATGAGCGAAGGGATACCTTTCTTCTCCGCTGTCAGGGAGGACTGAGCTTTCAGCTTTAGATAGTGATTCTGTGAAACCACATCCGCTGACTTTTCAGCTACTGCCACTTGAGCTGTAGGATTTCAAGGCCAGCCTTTAAACTGGTGTCCTACTTAGTACTTCCTCCAGTTCTTAAGTAACACTGATATCGTTCATTGCCGTTTTTGCATCGTTACAAAGGTTGTGTTGATAGAGAGGTAGTTCGTGCTGTGTTTTAGCACAGCTGGTGGCAGTAGGTCTCAAACCCTAGATTTCTACACATGGGAAAATGCACTTAATCTGTTCTGAATGTGGAAGATGTTTTAAGAGGGAGTGTTTCCTTCATCAGTTTAGAGATCAGTGACGAACCCTGAAGTGCCCAATAGCTATACACTGCACAGGACTTTTCAGGAGGAACAAAAACACGCGTACCTGTGACGAGGGGCGGGGAGCAAAGGTGAAAACTGGCCATATTGAAATGGATACCTTTTCTCATTCTAGGTAAAATTGTCGACGGGCTGTTGGTCATGAGAAAAATCGAAGTAAGTTGAATTCACCTATTTTTCTGTGAATGTCCACATTGAAAAGTCACGTAGAAGATTAACAAGGGTTGTTCTGTTCTCTCCCGCTATCTGTTTACAGGATACCGGGGAATACCAGTGCTGATAACTGGTATTATCGGTTGTCATCATTATAAAATAGCAGGAAATCTGTTGAGGCAAAGGCTCATGTAGATTGACTTTAGAAACGCTATGGTCCCGTGGTTGCTGGTTAGTCTTTGAGCGGGGATTGTGTTCTTGTGGCTTTATTTGCAACGCTTTGCATTTGTTCGGGAAGCTGAATTGAAAAGCTGTTCCATCAGCAACTCAGACAAGAGCGTAAAGCAGATCACTTCTGTGCCATTGCCTGGGATTATTCAGTGGATGCTAAATCATCAGTTCTGCTGATCCGTGATCAGCATGTTTAATAAGAAAAATTAAACTAATCTTCTGATGGGCTTCCAGAAGCTGAAGATAAATACGCTCGGGGTGGTGGTTGCTGCCAACGTTGTGACTGGGTGTCACGGCAGGATGATGAGTAGATTTAACAAATAGCAGTGAGTTCTTCAAGACAGCAGACGCTAACTTCATGGCACACGCATGGGATCGTGTGCACAAGGGCCTCTGCCGTCAGTGAATCCAAGAAGTGGGGTGCAAACAGAGCTGACAACCGTTAGGCATTGAGAAAAGGTCGCACACAAGGAACTGTACAGCATGATACAATCCATGTGTTGCCAGCCCTCTTCCCCAAAAGCACCGATGGAAGGGTTGTGGTGTGCCTGCGTTGTGCCATCACTAAATGAAAGGAAACAAGCAAGAGACTCATGAAAGAGCAGCCGAGTCCAGCAGAACGAGAGGTTCAGAACGAGGGTTGCTTTGTGACTGTTTCTTATTTGGATTCCCCTTCTGTACAAACACAAGTTTGCTTTGCATGTCGCAGCTGTAATTAGTAACTTGAAAGATTTAAGCCAGAGCAGCCTCAAGGGACAGGATGCCTGCTGTATCTCATGAGGAGCTCTCCCGTCTTTGCTCTGTTCCTTCCCTCCCATTCAAAGGATCAGGGTCTGGTCTGTATCCCAAACCTCTGCGCACAGAGAGAGTTCACCGCCTTAGGGCCAGGTTCGTTGCCAAAACGCATGACGGTGCCTCTGTGTTACGCAGAGCTGTGTCTAGATTTCCCTGTTCCTGATGGTGCACAGACAGCTCTTAGCCAGTCTTCAAGTCCCTGTCGCTCACTGGATTTGCTGTGCTTCTGTGAGGTTTAACGTTACGTATTTGTTTGTCCCCAGAACGTGCCTACGGGTCCAAATAACAAACCCAAGCTGCCAGTTGTGATCTCTCAGTGTGGAGAGATGTGAAGCAACGAAACACAAGTGTGGTAAGTCTCAGTCTTCACGGGCACCCAGTGCAATTGAACTGTGGGCTGCTCTGCTCCTTACTTTTCTCTTGACTTATTTTCACATTCGAGTCTGCAGAGAGCTGACTCAGCTCAGTGAAACACCAGAAAATGCCTCTCTAACAGCGTTAGGTTTTTGCCAGCTCAACTCCCTGAACTGGCTTCCCTCCGAGCTACGCAGACACCAAAGGCAGCGCTAGAGGGATAAGATTTTGCGGCTGCGGTCAAGGGGAAGATGGGGTTGTGGGAGCTGTGCCTCGGATGGGGTTGGGCTGCCTTGAAGCCTCGGCTTTAGAAACCGGTGGATGAAAGGGGACTGCAGCAGGAACCCAGCCCCCAGACGGTCTGGGGGGGTGGGAGGCTTCACTTTGACCTGCAGGTTGATGACCGCTCCGATTGCTACAGAAAGCGGAGCATCCATGTGTGGGGCAGGCAGGGATCAAGGAAAGAAGAGGAGAAAGAGAGGACTTGAGCCTCCTTGCTCAGTGCAGCCATAGGACTGCCACCACTGAAGGGCCGAGGAATTATCATGTTGCATAGTCTTACCTTAACTCGGAAAAAATACCACTGTCCTCATCTGAAGGGAGCTGTTTCCAACATCTACTATTATTCAGGCTTCGTGGTTGAACCAGTAGGCTCAAGACAGAGCTCAGGCTAACGTACAGTGTTCTGTTTCCTTTTGTCCGCCCACTTCACCGTAAAAAACACAAGCATTTAAACAAATCTGTCTAGATTTCAATGTGTCAGGCTGCAGCTTGTCAAAAATCTGCTGTATTAGCCTTTTGGTTGCTGATTTTTCAAATTTCAGCAGGCAGGCAGGCACTGACAAAAGCAAATCCCCACAATTCTTGACCTTCCATTAAGTGATTTCCAAAGACATCTGGAATTGCCCACGAAGACGCGGCCCTGCTTCAATAATAAAGTCTTTCAGATCTGCAGCGCTTCAGACTCTTGGGAGCTCCTCCTGTTTGATGAAGCGACACCAGGGAATGTAATCATTCTTTCGTTTCCCTGGTACTTCTGGTGGCGTTTATAGGCTTTTGAAGATAGGGACAACCTTGCTAACAGGCCTTCTTGCAGATGGACAGAGCTGTGCTGATGGGTCCGGGCCTCTTTAGGGTTGTCCTCAGGCCCGGACGTGTTGATCATTTCAATTTGGAGTGCGTGATCTCTGGCCAACATCCAACTTGAGCCTGGAAGCTTTTCATTTCTAGGTACGAGGCTGGTGCCACCTTGCTTACGTCCCAGCCAGGTCTTAGCAACTGCCTTTCTGCACCCTGCTCCCTCTCAGCTGCCTGTAGACAGGAACGGCATTCGTCTCGCCCAGCTTCAGACAGCTAAATCCGCTACTTGTCGAGATGCTTTAAAATCAGCCCGGAGAAACAGGCGCTGTTGGTTTTAAGTTCAGAGGTAGATGCAGATGCCTGGCATGGAGACCCAGGAGGACTTCTGGCTTCTCTAGCTCGGGTTTGACGTGAGCTAGTGCATGCAGCAACCAGCACTCGCTTGAATATCCCCGTAGCGGCATCCAGTGTTGCTGCGCAGTCCTGCTGTTGTAGGATGAGTTGGGAATGGCTGTCGGACGTTTCAGACCTGTTTCTTCTTCGTTTCAGTGCTCCTTCACCGGTGGTTAGGCCTGTGCTGGTCCCGTGCAGTTCCAACTCCAGCCAGTTCCCCCCACTGCACCAGTCCTTCGCAGGCCAGATCTGCGCTCTTGACGTTCTTCTGAAATTATTTAATAATTGGCATCTTTTTTTTTTTTTTTTTACATTTTGAAATGTAAATAAAGAATTTTGTTAAATACGTGTGCAGCGCACATCAGTTAACGTGCTTGGGAACAGATTCTTCAGGTGAGAAGGGCTATAGCATCTCCAGCGACGCGGGTTATCCCTAGCTGGTTCGGTAGGGGACATTGACTGTGCGTGGTGTTGAGGGGCATTGCTGCTGGGCATTTGCAAAATGGGAAAGAAGGGGTGAAAGGAGCGTGGCAGTGCTGTGCCCCACCAGCTCCTTTACTCAGCAGGTAAATAAGGCTGCCCGGCAGCGAGGTTTTTGGCATCTTAGGAATCTCCGGAACCTTTCTACGTGCAGCCTTATTGAAGGACAAGAAATTGGTATGGCACAGCCTGCCATCACCATGAGTTTGCTGGGCTCTGAGGTGAGTTGTGTTGGAAATGAGCGTCGTTTGTAAAAGCTCCCCTGGCACGTCGCGGCGCTAGGCCCTCAGGCTGTTACATGCCATGGGTGTTAGGGGAATTCACCTGCGTGCCACAAGGGTGTTAGAGCAAGGCTTTGGGCTGGAAAGCAGAGAACGATTATGCTGTAGGAGTCGAAATCGGGGCTCCTTGTCCTGCATGGTTACAAAGAGCACAGCTGAGGCTGCAGGTTGGTGGAGAAACTGACTTTCTTCTCCCAGAATTGGGTTGCAAGCTCACCTACCCGCCGAGGGACAAGAAAGCAGCCCTCCTGGGGGCTGGGCTACAGCGCGAGTTTTCTCATCCAGCCGATTCAACTTGAGGAGTTGGGCCAAAGTCTGTTCTGTGCAGGCGCCTCGTCCCATCCGGATACATCCCATCGCTCCTTGGGCAGCAGGAGAGTGGTGCGGGGCTGTCCTGGGAGGTGCAGTCTTTGCGTCATCCAGCACTGGAGAGCAAGCGCCGACGTACCGGAGGGCAGACCCGCAGGCGTGCTTTGGCGTGCCCTTCTATCTCGTGGCTGTTTGAAGTCCTTGAAGCAGACTCTGGCTGTCAGAATTTCCAGATCTCCGTTCCTGGGACTGCACAGTTGCTGAGGACACTCGTGCTCACTTCTCTGCAGCCCGAAGCATCTCATCTTCTTGTACCTGCAGAACATCAGCTGATGAAAGAAAGACGAAGCGCACCATCCCTTTCCTCTCCAGGCCCAAAAAGACTTTGCAGAGGGTTCTTTCCTGTAAGATGAGGGTTGAAAATTCCCAACAGGGAGGAGGAAACCAGACTCAGGTGACAGCTGTGAGATAGAAGTGACCAAAAAAGAGAAACTCAGCTGCCGGTCCTGCTCAGGAAACGTGTCCAGATGGCCCTTGCCTCTGGGCTTTAGGCAGGAGCTTGGTTCCAGGTGGCTCGAGGGAGCTCTGCCTGCCAGCTGCGGTGCTGAGGCTTGCAGTCCTGCCTGCAGGTACCCAAACTCACTGTACTTTTTCACCAGGGAAAGCAGCTTATTTCTGGGTCCGCTCAGCAGCACTTTCTCAGTCTCACTTCCCGCATAGCAGGGGTCACAGAGCTTCCCCAAATTAATTAACAGCGGCAAATCCATTACAACCTCTTTGAAAGTTGTTCCAATGGCTAATTATATCCCGTTATGTTTCTCTTTGATGCTGGATGTGCAGAGTTCCAGCTTTCCAGCTTATGTATCTTGCTGTTCCTTATCTGCTGGCTGAAAGGTTTCTCAAAGACCACGTTTTTGGGCTTAATTCCCCGATGATGAAGCCCCCCTTCAGTTATGTTGTATGTAGCAAGTCCTGGAATCTCGTGCTGTAGAGCAGATGATGGATCTTCTCTCTCTGAGCTCCAGCGTCTTCCTCCAGCTGTGGATGCTGCAACTGAAGACAGCGTTTCTGATTGCCTCTTTATTCACCTGAGGATCAGATGAGCCTCTGGGCCCTACAGCGTTGCCCCCCAGAAGATATTGTTAGCTTACAGAAGAAAATGTGGGCCACTCAGCAGCTAACAATATCTTCACACTACATCTTCCTCACAGCCTTCATCACTGAGATTTGAAGTTTTCTCCCTCTAGGGTCTCGCATGCTGGATTCCCTATTTGCCATTATATTTTATTTTTCAATTGATTTACTGAGCAACATCCAATTTTGATACCATTCTAATTTCTTCATTAAGGTCAGAATTCTGATGCAGATCCCTTGCAGGATTATATTATTGTTTTAAAGCTCTTTCCTTCTTTGGCTGAGTTGGAGATCTCGTGGAAAAGTCACCAAGGTAGCTTGACAAGACCTATGTCCATAAACCCACACTGGTTGTTGTGCTGGGTTGAGCTTGGTGCCGCCTGAGCCCCTCGCCTGGCCGTGGCGTAATGTGGGGAACTGGCATCTCTTCTTCACGCTGGGATGGGGAAATCCGGAGTGATTTGTGCGGGATGCTGGAAGGGCTGATCCCAAGGGGGTACATGTTGGTTGCAAAGATGGTGGAGCGATGGGTCAGCTCCCAGAGACCTTCTTGGTGGTTGCTGGTGACCTTTCCCTCCTCTTACGTGGGAGGAATGACATTGCCAAGGGCAGGGCTGGGAATCTGCAGCCAACAACCACATTTTTTCAAGTGCCCAAGGAAAATGACTTGGCGGACAGGAATGCTGGGTTTCCCCTGGACCTTCCCTCTGAGGAATCCAGCAGAGATCTTGGAGCTCTCTGAGCGGCTGTGAGGTGAAGACATAGGGAATGGAGGCAAAGAGGAGGTGAAAGGTGGTCGTTAGAGAAGGGCTCCACCGAGGTGAAGAACCCAGCAGCGATGCTTTCCTGACTGCCGGGATGGGGAGAAGGGCTCGGGGTAAGGGGAGGAGGGCTCGGGGTAAGGGGAGGAGGGCTCAGGGTAAGGGGAGGAGGGCTCGGGGTAAGGGGAGGAGGGCTCGGGGTAAGGGGAGAAGGGCTCGGGGTAAGGGGAGGGGGGGGCGGGGGAGGGGGTGGCGGAAAAAAAAAGCGACAAGGGGAGGACGACCCGGGGTAAGGGGAGGAGGGCTCGGGGTAAGGGGAGAAGGGCTCGGGGTAAGGGGAGGAGGGCTCAGGGTAAGGGGAAGCTGCCCCCCCCAGTCTCTCCTCATCCCTCTGGCAGAGAAGCTCCACTGGGAAGGAAGGATGGGATGCTTAGGGAGAGGCTAATTAAAGACAAGCCTTTTCAGAGACCTCTGACCCAGGGCGACAGCCTCGCTCTCAAATGGCTCAATTAGGAGGCATTTATCTTGAGGAGCTACCCAGGCAGGTGCAGTCAAAGGAGCTCCCTGGGGAGGAACCAGAGCCACAGCCGTGCCGCACATCTCTGGCGCGCAGGGGCTGGGGGAGCGCCTCAGCCGGGTCCCGGGCTTCTGTAGGGGAAGGCCAGACCCTTTCCCTTCCTCACCAGGAGGCCTGGCACAGGGCTCGGGGCCTCTGAGGTGGGGCGTTAGGCCCGGCTGCCTGGGGGCCTTAGATCAAGCTGCCCGCTCCCTTGGAGGGGCGTTAGGCCGGGCTGCCCGCTCCCTGGGGGGTTAGGCCGGGTCCCCCACCCCACTTCAAGCGCCAGCCGCGGCACTTGGGCCAATTCGTCGCCCGCCGGCGCGGCCCCGCCGCCGTTCCTCCGGGGGCTGATGACAACGCGTTAATTGCCCGTAATGAGACGTTTTCAGCAGCTCCGCCACGTCTCCGGATCCCTCATTCCCCACCGTTAATTAACGCTCCCGGGCTCCTTCCTTCTGATGAGTGTTTTACCTAACCGGGGCCGCCCCCAGCCCTTGTAACGGGGCCGGCGGCGGCTCCACCGCTCGGCCCCGTCTTTTTAAAGCGAGGGGAAGCGCCGGCAGCGCGTCCGCTGGGCCGGGTGCCGGTAACGGCGGGGGGGGGGGGGGGGGGGGGGCCGGGGGGGGGGGGGGG